TCTACAAGTTTCGCACATGGGCGTGGCAAAATGACTCGCTAGCGCCACCTAGAAAATTGGAAAAATTAGCCCCTCGTTCACAACCTACATGTACGAAATTTTCTGGGGACATGTATCGTATCAAGACGCACAAAAAAGCCTCAAGAACCCATAGCCTAAAGTCAACAGGAAGTCGGCCATTTTGAATTTTAGGCCATTTTTGGATGATTTACACACACTCTCCTAGGGATTTAGTCGGATCGACGTCAAATTTCTGCTGTGCCTTCTAAAGGCATTGATGAAAAGTTGTGCTATTTGCGAGTTTTCGTCAATGGGCGTGTCCGTGGCGTCGATGATTCTATGAAACAGGAAGTTGTTGTAACTTCAGTGTACATGCTCACATCTGGACCAAACTGTACATGTAGGATGAGAGTCCCGCCCTGAACACATGTACATGCCGACATTCACCCACAGTCATAGCGCCACCTGCTGGCAACAGAAAGTGACCTTTAACGAAGCAGCCCCCCCGCACGTTTCACCTACGTGCACGAATTTTCTGTGGTACGTGTATCTTGTCCAGACGCACAAAAAAGTCTCTTGGAGCCATAGCCTAAACCCAACAGGAAGTCGGCCATTTTGAATTTTACGTCAAATTTTGGATGATTTACACACTTCGTACTTTAACGAACTCCTCCTAGGGATTTAGTCCGACCGACCTCAAATTTTGCTGTGCCTTCTAAAGGCATTGAAGATGAAAAGTTGTGCTATTTGCAGTTTTCGTCAATGGGCGTGTCCGTGGCGTGGCGTCAAATCAGTCTTCGCCATGACACGGAAGTTGTCGTAACTTCAGTGTACATGCTCACATCTGGACCAAACTGTACATGTAGGATGAGAGTCCCGCCCTGAACACATGTACATGCTGACATTCACCCACAGTCATAGCGCCACCTGCTGGCAACAGGAAGTGACTTTTAACGAAGCAGCCCCCGCCGCACGTTTCACCTACGTGCACGAATTTTCTGTGGTACGTGTATCTTGTCCAGACGCACAAAAAAGCCTTGGAGCATGCCCTAAAATCAACAGGAAGTCGGCCATTTTGAATTTTACGTCAAATTTTGGATGATTTACACACTTCGTACTTTAACGAACTCCTCCTAGGGATTTAGTCCGACCGACCTCAAATTTGTGCTGTGCCTTCTAAAGGCATTGAAGATGAAAAGTTGTGCTATTTGCAAGTTTTCGTCAATGGGCGTGTCCGTGGCGTGGCGTCAAAGATCAGTCTTCGCCATGACACGGAAGTTGTCGTAACTTCAGTGTACATGCTCACATCTGGACCAAACTGTACATGTAGGATGAGAGTCCCGCCCTGAACACATGTACATGCTGACATTCACAGACAGTCATAGCGCCACCTGCTGGCAACAGGAAGTGACTTTTAACGAAGCAGCCCCCCCGCACGTTTACCTACGTGCACGAATTTTCTGTGGTACGTGTATCTTGTCCAGACGCACAAAAAAGCCTCTTGGAGCGATGCCCTAAAATCAACAGGAAGTCGGCCATTTTGAATTTTACGTCAAATTTTGGATGATTTACACACTTCGTACTTTAACGAACTCCTCCTAGGGATTTAGTCCGACCGACTTCAAATTTGTGCTGTGCCTTCTAAAGGCATTGAAGATGAAAAGTTGTGCTATTTGCGAGTTTTCGTCAATGGGTGTGTCCGTGGCGTGGCGTCAGAGATCAAGTCTTCGCCATGACACAGGAAGTTGTTGTAACTTCAGTGTACATGCTCACATCTGAACCAAACTTTACGTGCTTGATAACTCTCCCACCCCGCTATGGAGGACCGATCCTGACACAGTCAGAAATAAATACAGAAATAAATAAATGCTCAATAAATAAGCATCCAATTAAATACACAAAAAAATAAAGTAAATAAATAAATGTAGGTAGTAATTAAATTATACAAGGAGACATAAATGATATATTTTAATTAGTGCCTTTACTTATTCACCTTTGTTATAATTACCTTATTTGTTTATTCAACTTTATTTATTACTAATTTTTTAATGTATTTATTTATGTGTGTGTTTTAATATTTTTGTCTGTTTTATTCTTCCTTTGTATTTATTTACCTTATTTATTTTCACCCATGGTATTTATTTCTGCCTGTCTTTTTAAATTTTTGTATGCATTTCTGCCTCATTATGCAAATGAGGAGGGCTGTGTCTCAAGGGGTCATCTTCTCTGCTATTGGTGGACCAGTCAGACAGGAGAGCTCCTACTCTGCCTGCAGACATCAACGATCTTGCCCCTCACACAGTCAGATGGCTTCCTTCAGTGCGCTGAGGTGTTTAACAACTCTGAAGACAATACTACCAGCAATGTCTTCCTTCTCTTTTCACGTAGACGCTCCGACAGACAGTGCTTTCAGTTTGCTGCATGCATGGACACAGAACTGCGGTATAGGGAAAGCACACGGTCAGCTGGCTGCAGCTAAATCTGGAGTGCACTCGTATTCAATTCTGTATGGTAAATTCAGTTTTAACGGAGCAGAGCGAGCTGACAGGCAGAGTTAGAGACTTTTTCTGTCTGTTTCTCTCTTTACAACGCATGTTGCAGTCAGAGTCTTCTCTGAGGGCATGAGTCTCAGTAGTACATGACATACAACACAATTTATCAAATTACACAACGGATATACAGTATGAAAATAAGATTGATTGGATTATACTCACAGGAAGTATAAAACCTGTTACATGCGTAACACAGTAATGTCAGGGAAATTACTTTACTTAGATTTAAGTACTGCAGTTGTACATTTGAAATACCTTCCTACCTTTCTGATAGGAAGCCTTCTTGAGGTGGTATAAAACATTTCTTCTTATATTCTGATTTGAGTTGTGGACAACTATGACCACATGAATTAAAAAAATTAAACATTTCACTGCCCAAGTCAGCTATAACACAAGTCTTGTTCATTAGACTACATGCTGTACAGTATTTGTGGACAGATTTTGTCCCAGGATTTATTATGCATTTCTTCTTCTTCGTTGCATGATTTAGAATAATAAGGTGAGAAATGGGTCTATTCTGAGTTCATCCTGCACTGCAGCAGCTAAAAAGTCCATTTAATCCCAAAAAGCTTTTCTTTTAGGCAGGCTGGAGCAGAAAACAACTCACCTTTCTCAAGTTGTACAGTAATGTCACATGTGTATGAAGGTGGATCAAACAAGCTAATCTTAAATGTCAAAGTAGAGAGGAGCCTAGTAGGCCTATTTATTTTCATTCATTACACATATGAATAAGCTATGCAGACAGTTGTAAAGAAAGAACATCTTTTTCTTCTGTTCTCTACTTGTTATAGTTACACAGTATTAGGGGTGTGGGCTGTATTAAAAGTATCCACTGTTCTCCCATGCTCTAACACACAGTAACGATGAAATGTGTGCTGTTCTCACATTCTTCCTCTGTATGTACACATAAACAACAAGGCAGGGAAATATAAAAGGAATTTATTTTATTGTTCAGTGTACATGCTCACATCTGAAACAAACTTTACGTGCTTGATAACTCTCCCACCCCGCAGACATCTACACACCAATACCGATTTATATTCATAGCGGCAAGTGCTATGTAGCGCCACATAGGGGACACAGAAGTGACATATAGCACCTTCATGCGGCATCGGAACCACGTAGGAAATTCACAGCCGCACCAGCAGAGCTCCAGAATATGCAACTCGGCCGGCTCAGATGCGGACGTGCTACAAGTGCGAGGGCCCGCCCAACGCTGCTTGCAGCTTTAATTTCTAATGGAGCCGACTTCTTTTTGCAATCAGAAGAGACGCCCCCTTCTGGCCGTTTGATAGAATGCAGGTTTAAGGGACTTTCGCGTTCACATCAGTTTGCAGACCGGAAGCTTCCCGCTTGGTAGGACTACTTCTATTAGTAGTAGTTGTAGCAGTCTGATTTGTTAAAAGTAAGGAGAAAAGGGATATTTGGACAAATAGAGGACCACACATTATTTATCACAAGAGCCAATGAGCGTGGTTCATGTGGTGTCGGAAGAATTTTTTTCCCTCCTTAAATCTTTATTGCAAAAATAGGAATAAAGTGTACATAGGTCATAAATAAGTATACAGAACAGTATACAAATATATAAGAAGACACAAATAATGAAAACGTTGCCTTTTAGTAAATTATATAAAGATATTAACCATATTTTGACAGTTTCCACATCCTTTTGTTGTTGGATTTAAAAAGTAAATAGTAAATATATCAACCTCATGGAGATAAGTACAATATTAGTTTTTTTAATGCTGAATTTACAATTGCCATTAGAATTAATACATTTTAATTTGATAATTTGTTGCACCCACAACCCATAGTCTCTGTTCCTCTGTTTTTCTGTGCCTGATCTTCATGTTTGGTACAGTGTTACCTTTAACTGCCTCTGTTCTTGCACATTGTTTATTGTATGTTTCCTTGAATTCCCTGTTTCCTAACTCTGTTAATTGTTATAATAAACTACTTTCGTGTCAATCCTGTTTCCTGTCTCTGGGCCTGGTTCAATCCTTTCTGTGTTCCCACCCGTGAAAACTACAGCATTATTCATTCATACATCTGACATCTGAAGTTTCAACAGCAGCAGCAACAGTTTTTCATTCACAACAAGTAAACAATTAGCAGTTAACTGAACATTACTCTATCTAAATCAAATCCTCCTTTTTACAAATTTAGAAAAAAAAGACTGTGGCAGCTAATGGCCTTACTGTGGCATTGTTTGGCAGCCTAGTGGCTCCTTGTGGCACTCCTTGTATCTCTCTCTCTCGAACAACATACTGTACTACTCTGCTACATATTATTGCTCATATTTGTGGTAAAACTAAATCAAAAACTTTGCCTATGTGGAAGATTTGTAATTTGTCTTTTCTTTAGTTTCACCCGTGTTCCTTTCAATAAACCTGCTGTTCAAAGTCCAGATGAGGGAAGGCGTTTAGCTGCCTGTCAACATACATACACCACAGGGCACCCATGTAGCTCACCGGGTAGAGAGTGTACTCTTCCCTGAGTCCTTACCACAGCATTCTGTAGCCTTTCCTGTCTCTATCTACAGTTGTCACAGTTTTACAGCTGTGCAGTAAAGGCAAAAAAAATCTAAAAGCTAAGCCGTGAACTTTGACAAAGTGATTAATAATTAAGCTTCAGGTTGACTGCACAGATTCACATACCTCTGTTGAGTTTACCAGCAGGATCACCTAACTCTGTTACACAGCCAGAAGAACTTATACATAGGAGAAGCACTGGATGACAGAGTATCTGTAAGAAGTCAACACAATCTGGAAGATTGGAGTCAATATGTCTTCCAGTCTCACTGCAGGTATGAAACTTTTAACTCAGTTTTATGCTCGTAGGCTCTTTGCACAACTGTTTTTACAAAAAGCCTTATTTTGTGACAGGAACACAGGAGAAAGCAGAATTACAAACTTAAATGAGCCAGTTAAAACAGGAAATTCAGCAACTCTTAACAGGATTGGGCATTGCCGAGTCTGCCTGGGTTTGTAGTACAACTGTTATATTATCATTTTACTTTCAGCCTGGGCAAGATAAAAGCCTTGCTTTCAATATTTTTACCAATGTGTATAATAAGGATGATTTTTGTTGTGTACTATCTATGGTATGCAAATAGTTAGGGCCCGAGCACAAAAAGTGCGAGGACCCTCTTGGAACTGAAGATTTTTTTTTCTTTCGTATTTTATGGGTCTTGCACATGATTGGCAAAATGACTCGCTAGCGCCCCAGTCCTCCAGGTGCCAGAGAAAGTACACAGTCCGAATTCCTTTGTGTTCCTCAAACTCAAAGCATTACCTTGTTTAATTAAACAATCTTTGTTAAGTTACTAAACAGGTCTCTCCACTCCATTAAAGTAGTTATGTCACTGTCTTGTTGCTATTGAAAAGAAGAATCCATATAAGTTAATTTCGCAGTGTTTTAATTTTCAGTAATGATTCCTGACATTTGTTTAAGTGATGTTTTTAACTAATGCTTTATTTCCAGCTCCTTCTGACCTCTTATACTTAGAAATGATATATAAAGAAATGTTATCCTATGCTACTTGATTAATTTTCCAGCTCAAATTTAATGTTAAATAACTAATTTTCCCAGCTCCTGGCCAAATGATTGTTTAAAGAAATAATCATTTGCTATCTTAAGTCTACTCATGGAACTAGAGTTCACCCAAGAGGACAAAATAAGTATTACATGCCATTGTTCTGAAATGCCGTTTTAATGTATAAATGTCACTCTGTTTTTACCCGTTCGTAATCTGATGCCATGTTCGTGTAACTTGCTTATATTCTCTAAGTAAGAATATGTAACAGCAATATTATCCAGGAAGCTAGTAAAGTTCCTTTCATCTAATGTGATTCCTATGAAATGCTAACCTTAAGGTTTAACTACTGACAATTGTTTTCCTTTTTATCAAATGCTTAAAACTAAGAATGGTATAACAGTTTGACAGTGGGAAGATATTTGATTACAATACGCGCAAATAGGTTTTAGAATAGACATATTAAAAGTTAAAAGACAAACCAGAAACAAGCCCTCAGGGGAACAAAGCCAAGCCCCCTGGGAACACGCCCCAATAAACAAAAGCAGCGACACAAGTTTGCTCGCTCTCTTGGCTCCTCTTCGCTCTTCCCTTGCACACTCAGTGTGCTCTGTCTCCCAGCAACGCCCTAAAAGAAGTTCGACCCGGCTTGCCGTGAAAACTCTTTTGTTCTTTTCAAGCCACACACGCGAAGCGCCGCGACCTCGGCTTTTCCCTCGTTTGCAGCAACTTACTTGTTTTTTTATTTTCTTTTGTTTTGTTTGTTAAAAGTTATCAGACCGTTAAGTTACACAATTTTAATTCAAGAACGTTCTTTTAAGCTTTATTCCGTCGAGCTAACTTACACTGCTCCCACCGGAGCCTCATGGGCCCGTCTTGCCAGCAGTAAGGACAATCAAACCTTTAACCCGAGCCAGGGTTAAAGACCTCCCGCTCCAAGTTTTCTTCAATAAGCCGACCCAGACGGACCTCTGGAGCAATTCCCTGGCAGAGAAAGCGCTGGCTGACGGCTGTGAGCTGTCCTAACTGAGAACGCACGGAACTCAGCCAGCGTGAGGCCGCCGACCAGCAACCCGGCTGGGAGAAATGACAAGCAATAAGGCTAAATCCCTGCATTCTGTGATCAGTGTTGTCCAATAGTTTGTTAATCGATTATCTTTAACCCTTAAAAGTCATAGCCAAACTGAGTTATTATCATAGCTTGCGTTTATTAGTTGCCCTTATGAATCAAATTCTCCCCACAAGAGAACCCAATTTACAATAGAACTCAACATTCTTGTTGTTTACATCATGTTTGTTTAGCCATTGTTTATTTCTTTGATTTAATTCACCTAAGTTATCTAATATATTTCACCGTAATCACAGGAAGTGTGTGTGTGTATTGTCTAACTCCAAGTCCCTGTCATGAAGAACTTTAAATCAGAGACTGACTGATTGATTTAAGATAATTGAGCGATTATTAACTAATTGATCACTAGTGAATAATTGTATAATTAAATATTAGAAATATTAATTTTCATAAGTTTATTAAAAATCATACGTAGACCTGCTACAAAGCCATGCACTGCTCAGCTGGGTTTGCTGGACAGACAGACAGAATAGAGATTCACTGCAGCTGCACATTAACCAAACATTACTGTTATCTGCTAACATCAGACTTTGAGAGGAGAGAACACAGGTTTACTTGGCCGCAGTCCCCACAGTTGTCAGTGTCTCTTCTCGTGCCTAGATGAATAGTCCCTCTTCATCCTCTCAACTTGTAAGAGTTTTATGATGTTCTAAAGAAGTGCTGAATATCTAGCAGTATCTCCGCCATTGATGTGTTGTTTCAGTGTGCTCTGCAGCAGCGAGGGCGGGGTATGCTAGTGTGGCCGGTTACATCATAATATGTTTAACATAATAATGTCTACATAATATTACAATATATACTAAGTTACTATTGAGAACTCACGTGTTTCTTTTGCAGATTAAAATAAGAACCTCATGATATGCTAACTTGACAATTTTGAGGAGCTTGCTCGACCAACTTTTTCCTATATTGGCTCAAATAGTGTTTTTTATTCCTAATGTAAAATGTGTTTTGCAATGAATAACTGTTTCATTCATTAAGTTCACATTTATCTCATGTTTTAAAATAATAGTTTAATTTAATCTCTGCGAAATGTTTATTGTGTATGTGGTGTCCTTGCTCAACTGCCAAGTATTATGAAGCTTACTATTTCAAGAAAAACCAAGACTTTAAAATTTAGGACTTAATTCTTTCTTGATGAGGTGTAAGGCACACTGGATCTAAAAGCGTAGGAAGGCATCACATTGACCCCTGTGTACGGGCACTGCACTAGTATAATAAATTTATTAGCTGTTGCCATGTTTTGTTGTTATTTAATTCAATGATTATAGAGGCTGTTTTCAGTATAGGGATAGAGAACTAAATGCTACCATAGTGAAGTTCTTTTCTGTACTTGGCATGCAGGCAGCAGCTCCCCTGGGTTCACCACAGCAGCTCCTTCCAGCACAGGTCTAAGTTTGGATGCTGCTGACATCGCCGTTGTTGTCATCTACTTTGTCTTTGTCATGGTGGTTGGGATCTGGGTAAGATCTGAAAGTGGCTCAACTCATTTTACACTTACGCCTTCATCATTATTTTTAATAAAATCTTTAAAATATCTTAAGACCTTTCTCAGGTGAAGAGCTTATCGTAATACTGTGCTGTGTTAAACCTCTATGAGCTTACACTTTAAGTCACATTTTACTATTTTTTATTCCACAAATGCTTATCCTAAAACATGCTCAGAGGAAATATGACAAAACCTGGATACTACCTGACAAAGAACCAACTGGGCTCAAAAAGTTGCAGGGCACAGTGTTTCAAGTCATTTTTATGATTGCAAATTTCTGTACATGCTAAACATGTTTCAATACATGGATTACAAATAATGTAACCTACCTGAAAGGTGCTAACCTCCATCTGGCTCTTTTGGTTCTTTTATGAGCATAGCCATTATGATGGTGTATTTCCATTTACCAGAAAATAAGTTAACTTAAGGTCAGGAGCAGGGTCACGCCTCAACCATACCTCTTATCACCTGTCAACCCATCCTGTCCAGTTTCTCTCAGTTTTCTCAACAACAGACTCTGCATCAAGCTTAATTGCATTCACCCATTTACACACACATTCATAAGGCGTGGCGACCATGCAATACGCAACAATCGGCCATGCCATCCTCCTCATCCATCTGGCAGGCCATGGAGCTCGGCTCTCTAAAGCAGACATCACTAGCACTACAACCCAGAAGAAAACTCTTTTGCTCAGAATAGTCTTTTCTTTAACTCTTGAGAAAACACTAAGATCTCAATAGTATATCTTTTAGAGATCACTCCAATCTGAATTGTTGCTCCTAAAACCCCTTAGGAGAAAAGGATGAAATAAAGAGAGATTGAGGTTTTGAGACTTAGGTAAGACAAATAGATACTGAATTGAGATTACAATAGGATAAATGAAAGTAACAGTTGAGATCTCATGATTGTAACTTATTGAGTTCATTAATGTCTTGCTTATTGCTCCTAAAGATCTGTTGGGAGCTCTGGGGAGGTGTTTGTGAGCTTGATTATATTACATTTGTCACGATCGTGGTGTGGAGGCAGGTTGGAGGACCCAAACGCAGGACACAGAGCGGAGCAGGTATAGTTCAAAGAAGGGTTTTAATATAACCAAAAGCGAGCACACTTACAGGTGAGTGGCTGAAAAACAGAAATCCAAAATCCAAAAGTACAGGGATACGAGACTAGACAAGACAAGACAAGACAAGACAAGACAAGACAAGCAAGGCTGGTTACAGGCAGGCAGAGAGTACACACACGACAGACTGGGGGGTAAAATGAACAATGACCGGACAAGGACAAGACAGAAACACCAGGTATATATACACAGGGACTAACGAGCAGGGCGGGAGCAACACAGGTGACAGACATGAGACTAATGAGGCAGAGAGAGAGAGCAGAGGAAAACAGAGACTTGACATGACAAGCAGACTATATAACAGATACTGGACACTAGACAGGACAGAACCCAAAACTCAACATACTAAGGCAGATACTAAACTCAAAAGTGCAACACAAAGGATGGCCAACCGGCAGAGCGTGACAACATTGCTTTCTATGCTTGGAGAACTGTGCTGGAGGCTTGACCTGAGCTGGATTTGAACCCTGCTCTTGCTGTTCAAAGGGCAGCAACACTGCCGCTGCACCATCCTGCTAAAATTAACAATGAAGTAAATAGAGTACAATGTTCCTTTACTTAAAAGAGGAGAAATACCATATACACAATTAAGGTCCTCAAAATTCTACTCAAGTAAAAGGTATAAAAGTATTCCATAGTGAATGTACTTAAGTATCAAAAGTAAAAGTGCTTATTCTGTATGACAGATACATGTATATATGTATGTATCTCAGTTCTTGAGTGCATTCGGTCCTTAATGAATTAATCTCTAAACATCATGTCAAAGTATTGGCTGTTCCAGTTATGCTGGCTGTGAACTTAAGAAATTGGAAAACATGACATTTGAAAGTGCATTATTTTCAATGTCAAAATTTATTTTATTTTTCTCAGTAACTTGTAATAATTAATAATAATAATAATAATTAACAATAAATAGGGTTTGAAAGGATTTGAAATTAAGGGGAGTAAAAGTACAAACCCCCATAAAAAGAAAATAGTGGGGTCACTAAGACAAAACTGAGAAATATCTTGAAGCTTTTTTCTGATCCACATTCTGGACTGAAATTACACTTAGTTAAGATACTGTAGAGATCCCATCTTTTGATCAGAGTAAGACAGAGATGAGTTTTTTGCTCCTGAGGACAATATGAGAAAACTGAGACATATTTGAGAAGAATCATGAGATCCCGGGAGTCATAGCTGAGTTTTCTTTGAGCTCTTTCTCTGATCTCATGGTCCAATGTTCAGAAGACTTAAATTAGACTTATTTAAGATCTCTTGTTCTGATCAGAGTCAGACATAAATAAAATTTTATGTGGTTGTTTCTCCTAAGATGAATTTGAGAAGTGGTAGAAAATGCCTTTGGTCTCACCTTGGTATTAAAAGTAGCTCATTTGTGTCTAGAAGAAAAGAAGGAAACAACTATGAGATCTCATCTTGGATTTTGCTTTCCAATGGGAAGTCTTGCCCAGACATCTGGTGTTTTCTCAAAATTCACTGAAACGGACCCTATTATTTTTTACTTACTTACTTACTACTAACTTTTGGCAGACAAAGCAGATTTCTTTACCTCTACACTACCATTCCACACTCATAAAAGTTTTCTTTCAGAGAGAAAACTTGTATTCACACTCTAGAAGTAAAACTGAGCAGCTGGGAGCTTCATTCCCCATCCACATTTTATGTGTAGAGTCCTAACTAAACGAGCAGCTGACCAAACACATCAGTACCACAAGACCTAGTCTAAAAAAGGGGGAACTGCCACTCAATTGTAGTCAGTCTTTCTGGCATATCTTCAGAACACTATTCCAGCCATTCTTTCTACATCAGTGCAGCTGCCAGACTGGCTGCCAGACTGGTATCTCAAACCATTCAAGTCCTCGGTTGCTGGTCTTCCCAGGCATACTATATCCACAGCAATCTTAACCTTTGTCAAGCTCACGGCTCAGCACAGCTCCATCTAAATCTGTTGATTCTTTGGGGGCCCGTAATCAGCTCGGGTGACTCTACCCTAGAGATGGATCCCCCATACTGAGTCTCCTCCCCCCAGCCTCCAATACATTCATCCCAGAGTACAAATAGTTACAAGAATATTAGAATAATAAACACAACATTTTTGGGAGCTCATCCTTGGTTTGATTTCTGTCCAAGTCACCAGGAACTGATTTATATTTGTGTGACAGCACAGAAAAGTTTTTTTGTTTGTAAAAGTGATATTGCAGTGACACAACATACATTATATTTTTTTTTTTAGTGTACTGCTGGTCTAACCTTTACCTCTTTCTCCTTCTCAGTCATCAGTGAGAGCCAATCGCAGCACTGTGGGGGGGTACTTCTTGGCTGGCCGTTCAATGACCTGGTGGCCTGTGAGTACCTACCCTCTGACTGATGTCCATGATGTGTTGTTTTCAATTTCATGTTAATGTGCTTTTTGCTATGCTATGTATATGGCTTTGCAAACATACTGTAATGTTCTATTGTCTGAATTCTTGTCCTGTTTGGTTGCTCTTACACGTAACATAACATTACAAACAGTTACACAACTTGAGCTTTAGGAACAGGAATAAATAACAAAACACATACAAACAGTCGCCTGATACTTTTGTCCCAGTGACAAGACGCAGCTCCCAAAATAGAGTTTGAGGTTGTTTTTTATCTGCAACTATCCCCAACCTTAACCCAACCAATAAACTTCATGTGCCCTACAAAAGGTACCTACATGAGTGGAAATGTAATAGTGTTATTCCACTGTAATAAAGATGTTTTCTTGCACATGCTTGTGTTGTACAAGGTCAAATACATTTTAATAAAGCTTGTTTGTACATGTATTTGCTCTGTAATTATTTGTAATCTGATATTATGATAAGATGTACAAGCTCATTTAGGTTTTTCTCTTTAATCACCTTTGGTAGTCAATAACTGCATTATGCACACCTAACATTATGGTCTCATTTAATCTCGTTCACATAAAGAAAAATAACAAGTTTTAGTGTATTTACAGTCATGTTGGCACATTTTAGTATGGCAGCACAATGAGTTATCCTGTGTAACTCAAATAAATGAGATAGACTTCCCCACACATAAGTCACTTTTTTGCTTTCTTGGCAGCAAGCTCAGCAGTAAGAGCTGTGTAATTCATCTTGAACGTAACATACTTTTCAATGGAGAGATTAGTGAGCCAAAACAGTCTGATGGACGCTAATAGTTGTTGATTTGTTTCAGCTTTAAATAGCTGCGCTCTCCCGATGCCACAGCCACTGGGATAATGAGAAGAATGGGTTGGTGGTGGTGATGATAATAATAATAATAATCTTTATTTGTATAGCACCATACATAAAATGCAGCTCAAAGTGCTTTACATCATGAGCGCTTAAGTAAAAAGAAGTACATAAATAAATAAAACATACAATACAGCATGTAAATAATCCACAAGCACAAAATACAGGAATTATAACTGGGAAAGGGTAGCAGCCAGGACTACAGTATGAAATAAATACAATACATTAGATCAGATAAAAGCAAAAGAATAACTATAATCTGTTATGGTTTTGGACAGAACGGACCCAAACACAATGCTTCTGGTTTTTATGTGATTTATTGAGGAAAGAATAGGAGAGTTGAGGGGCTGGAGAAGGGGGGGAGAGGTGGACACCGGGAGACGCAGGCGTGGAGGACCGAGGAGCCAGCGGGGCAGGGGAGGTTCAGGCGAGAGGGCTGAGGGAGACGGGAGGCCGAGGTGGGAAGGAGTGTGGTGGTCGGTAGACTGGTGAGGAGCAAAGGAGAGCCGGGGGAGCGCCGTGGAGGTGATGCGAGGGAAGAAGGCAGGTAGGCGAGCCCATCTGACCGAAATGGGAGACGGAGGTGAGTGGAGCAGAGATTGAGTGGAGAACCGGGGTAGAAATTGAGATGAGGTTGAGATGAGGTTGATTGCTGGCAGGTGTGGCAGGCAGAGGTGGAGGTTGATGAGGCGCAGGTGTGGATTGTCAGCCAGGCTCAGGAGCGGAGAGAGAGGGAGAGCACACACACAGGGAGAGGGGAGGAGACACAGAGATAGAGGCAAAACTCAGGGAAAAACAGAATGCGAGAAAAAAAGGGGGAATAAACAGGACACTCACCGTCCGCCGGGCTGCCACCACAACATAATCAGTTAAAAGCAAAGGCATAAAAGTAGGCCTTGAGCTGCTTCTTAAAACTATCAAGAGAGGTTGCTTTTTTTTATTTGTAATGGCAGTTTGTTCCAAGCCATGAAAGCTGCTTCACCAAACGTTTTACTGTTCATTCTTTGGACATTAAGAAGACCAGCATCAGAGGACCTGAGAGAGCAAGTAAATTAATGTCTTCAGTGAACAACAAAAACAAAGGAATTTGCCTCACTGTTCCAATACTTTTGGAGGGGACTGTATGTCTATTAATAATAATGTAATTCTTTATGATTTTTGCAAGATAAAAGACAGTTGTGTTAAAAAACAAACAGTAGTGATAGTCCAGTATTAATAATTCTATTCGTGGTAATATTCAGTCCTCTGGACGTTGCCAAATCTGGGGTGCAGTGGATAAGACACATGCCTTTGGTGTGAGAGACTCGGGTTCAATCCCCCACTGTGATACCTCCACCAATGTGTCCCTCAGCAAGACATTTAACCCCTCGTTGCTCCAGAGGTGTGCAACCTCTGACATATATAGCAATTGTAAGTCGCTTTGGATGAAAGCGTCAGCTAAAATTAATTAATGTAATGTAATATAATGCCAAGCTCAAAAAAGTAACATCTGCAAGAATTATGAGCGCAACCTCACCACTTAAATGTTTCTCCCACAAAATACAGCATACGGTAATTCTAACAAATTTACAGTGTAATTTTTGTACTGACGTGTTGTATTGTACTTAGTAGGATGTGAAATTAGGGGGTAACAATGTGGGAACTTTACAAAAGAAATAGTGTACAGTAGTGTACAGTACTGAGCAACATCCGGATGTTTGGGAGGAATTTAAAGAGAACTTAATTAGAAACACTACATTACTGTACAGTTGTTCTTTGTGAATAGTATGTCATAATGAAAAAGATGTCAAAACTAATTTGTTAATGTCAAAACCCCTGTCCCATTTTTTCTACAATGTCATTAATTTTTAAGTCTCACTTAAACAGAGCTGTTATCCCCTTGTCCCTAAGCTGTCTTCTTTCCCTGTAATTAGATATTTGTTTGGGTATAGATACCCAGCAAGTATTTTATTGACAGTACATATTCAATAATAACATGGGCTGTAAACTAGTCTAACCAAACAATCTATAAATGGAAATATACGCTCTTCATGTTATTATGTGTTATCTGTATGTGTTTACAGATTGGAGCCTCTCTGATGTCCAGTAATGTTGGCAGCGGTTTGTTTATTGGTCTGGCGGGAACAGGAGCAGCTGGAGGAATCGCTGTTGGGGGATTTGAATGGAATGTAAGGAACATGGTCAGGGACTTTATTTATCCCCAATTTTATTTATATAGCGCCAATTCACAAGTTATATCATAGCACTTTTCATATAGAGCAGGTCTAGAACGTACTCTTTGTGCTATGATTTACAAATGCCCAACGGTTCCCAACATGAGCAGCACTAGGCAATAGAGGCAAGGAAAAACTTCCTTTTAAGAGGCAGAAAACCTCGAGCAGAACCATGGCTCAGGGTGGGCGGCCATCTGCCTCGACTGGTTGGGGGTGAGGGGGAGAGAGAGACAGAGCGAGAGAGGGAAAGAGAGAAAGAGATAGCAATAAAGAGGGACAGAGGGCTGTGGGGGTAGGGTGGAGCAGCCTACACAATATCCACACAGAAGTAAAGACAGTAAAGGTAATAGTGGTAGATACTTAAAATGAATAATGGTACAGATATTTATAGTAATGTTAATGATAATAATAACAATACGGATAGTAACAATAATTGTAGCAGAGGGTGTCGAGCAGGAAAACAGGGGCAGCAGGTGACCCGCAACCACAGATCCAGCAACACTGAATCTCGACACTTCACTTCCTGAAAGAAGAAAAACTACAAATTGTATATGAATTCAAATGCCATGGCGTTTTACAGAATCCCACACTGTCTTTTGAAAATTATGTCAACAGATTATCAAAAACTGTCAAACATGTCAAATGTCTAATTCAAAAACTGTCAAATTCAAATGTTTCTTCAGTTAATGATCTTTTCTCATATTGAATACTGTTTTACAAACTGGTCACTTACAAATGCCACAACATCAAACCAGCAGAGTCACTCTTTAAAAGAGCCATTAAAATCGTATATAGAAAACCATTTTCTTTCCTGCAGAAACGTAACTTGCTAAGTTTTGAAAACTTTTCGAAGTTTATATTTGCCTACTCTCTATATAAGATCCTACATGGACTTACTCCACCCCCACTAAGTGAATACATTAAATTGAAAATAACTGGTGGTGGCAGAACTGGAACCAGGGCCTCCATGTGAGGAGACTGTATGGTGCCTTACAGACACACAACATTTGGACAATCTGGACAATCTCTTTTCAAGGGAAAAGAGATCTGGAACAAGTTACTGGCTGCCGTAAGGGAATGTCTGGCTTACTCGAGTTTTAAGAACCATCTCAAATGATGGTTCAAGACACATCAAATCTGTGACCACTAACTGACTCTGTTGCGTTGTATGTGTATGGGTGTGTATGTGTGAGTATATGTTTGTGTATACAGATGGTTATAAACAAATTTCTGGCTTTCACTGTATTGTGGGTGACGGGCAGGGTCCAGAAGCCAGTCAGTATCTGGTGTGACCACCATTTGCCTCACACAGTGCAACACATTTCATTCGCATAGAGTTGATCACCTTGCTGATTGTGGCCTGTGGAATGTTGGTCCACTCCTCTTCAATGGCTGTGTGAAGTTGCAGTCAGGTCGAGACCCCGATGAAGACGACGAGCATGCAGATGAGCTTCCCTGAGATGGTTCCTGACATTCTTCGGTTATGCAAACAGATTGTTGCAGCAGCTGTGAATGCAAACGCCATTATATATATATATATAAAATGGGCTACTGGAACAAGACATTCATGGACTAGAGCAGAAAATATGGATCTGATGCAATGGCACTATACAAGCAATCCTGGTGAAAGAGGTTATCGACTATGGGATATATGCATGCTTCGAAACCCATCATCAACACTGACAAAGAAACGACTCCTAGCTCAGTGTTCTAACATCTCCAAACGGCAACTGCTATCACAACTAGAGATTGACGAAGTACAACAAATATACTACAGCAAGAGGGAGCCAGGATGATGACAGGTCAGCGGGGAGATGTTATCATCATCCTCCCCACACTCAGAGATTGGGTCCCAAGCCCCAATAACAAAAAGCCCTTACGGTACAGAATCACTCACCATAAGGGTGACTGAACTACGATTGAAGATCATAACCAAGCTGGACCCCCAAGTACAACGACCAAGATTGCCAAGGCTAAGTGACAAAGCACCCTCTGAAGGTCTGCTAGAAGATGTGAATGCAGCACTACATACTATCCCTAATAAAGCCATAACCGAGACCAATGAGCTGATGTACGCCACACACCACAAGCCACAAAGAGCATTACCCCCCATGGAGGAGAAGGCGAGAGACCAAGATCAAGGCAACATGAAGAGAGGTTAGTCAGCTGTCAGTGCAAGGAAAGGTGCAAGGAAAGGGTTACCTAAGAAATACAACAAGCAGTCGATACCTGAGGTTCTGGAGACTGCCAAACAAAGACTTACTGCTCTGGCTACCCATCTAAAGAGATATAAGGGAGAAGCAGAAGCCAGGAGAATAATTTTCTCCACTGAACCATCCAAAGTGTACTCTCAGTGGCAGGGTAATAACACAAGATCAGATCCAACCAGGGCTGAGACAAAACTGCCTGTTCTGTGATGGTGCTGAACACAAATCTGAGAACTGTCCAGACCACCAGGTGTCAGCATGTAAAGAAATACTGAAGAAGCTTGGCAGGTGCTATGTGTGTTTGGGACCCAAACATATTGCGAGGTTCTGCAGGTCGAAGGGCAGGTCATGTGCATGTGGGCAGGAATCATGCAGCCATTTGTGAGAAAATTGAGGCACCCCTACCTGCTGTTCTGCCGACATGGACACTGTTATTTCCTAATTAATTTCCTGAGTAATTCCTCAAGCAGAAAGGAGCAAGCCTGATAATGAGAATACTGTGCTGCTACAAACCGCCAAGGCATGGATTGTAGGGCCCACAAGCAGGAAGATGGTCCGTTGCTTGCTAGATGGGGGCAGCCAAGGGAGTTTTGTGCATGAGAATGTGGTGAGGGCACTGCATCTACCTGTCATTAGACAAGGGACATTTACCCTTCGCACATTTTCTCCTCTTCAACAACAGTGAAGCGCAGCATAGTGAGGCTCAGCTTGGACAATGTCTGGGATAAACGGCAGAGCATTGAAATAGAGGCAGTTGTGACCCCCAAGGTGTGTACAGCGTTGATGAAGGTCCCTGGTGAACATATACAGAAAGAGATGGAAAGGAGAGGTCTCCAACTCGCAGACTTTGCTGGAGATGACAAATCTGAGCTTTCTGTGCTAACTGGCTAAGATTACTACTGGCAGATAGTATCAGGCCGAGTAGAAAGACTCACAGAGACCCTTGTGGCACTGGAGAGCACCTTTGGATGGGCAGTACAGGGCCCAGTAGCAGTGTACAGCATGACAGGGACAACATGCATGCACATTCAGCTCATTGAGGAGGCACAGATTGACAAACAACTGCATGCATTCTGGGAACTTGAGTCTCTGGGCATTACAAGCGAGAAGTCTGACAGCCCAGAGGATGTGGAGGCGTTGCAGCGGTTCGAGGAAACCTCCATCTTCAAGGATGGACGTTATCAAGTGGAGTTGCCATGGCGGCAAAACCATCCTCCACTCCAAGACAATTTCCGCATTGCAAAAAAGAGGCTGGAGAGTTTGAAAAGAAAACTAAAAAAGGATGTTACATTCTACAGCAGATACAATGAAGTAGTGGAGGACTACTTAAAGCAAGGAATGGCTGAGGATGTGCCGAGGGAGCATACATCACCACCATCACAAGCAGTGAGAAATATTACTTACCTCACCACGCTGTACTGAGGGAGGATAAGGTGACAACAAAACTGCGGGTTGTGTTTGATGTCTCCTAACAGGTCCCTATCTGAATCCAGATCTGATGAGTGTTTTGATCAAGTTTAGACTGCATGTGTTAGGAGTCTGGTTTTTGTCTTCATGTCTTTCCTGTTTAAGTCTGTTTTAGGTTCTGTGTTTCTCTGTGTAGTCCTGTACGTTAGTTAATATTTTTTGTGTTTACTCCTGGTCTTGTGTTCCCTGTTTAGTCTTGTGTATTCCCTTGTTCTCTTACTGGTTCTGTTTAGCTCTGCCCCATGTCTGCATGTCTGTCTCTGTCTTCCCCTGCTCGCTCTCTCCCTGCCTGTGCCTCTCCACCACACCACTCACCTTGACAGAAGGTCGGATCATTGTGGTCTGATGTCACCTGATCAGTCGGAAAGCACTCAGGATGATGTTCAGGAAGATGAGGTAAACTCTGAACTCAGATCCAAATACCAGATTGCTGTACAGTTTGTTAATCAAGACACAGAGCTCTTAAAACCTGTGTTATGTCTGGAGAAGTACAGTAAACTAAGGACAGTGCTCGGAGTGACAGCCTGAATGAAGAGGTTCATCACCAACACCCGCTCAAGCACAAAAAATGAGGGGTGAACTGACAGCAGAAGAGCTGAATGAAGCAGGAAAACATTGGATAAAGGTGACTCAGATCCAGTTTCAACTTAGAAATTGATCTGCTGAAACCAGGTAAATGCCCTAACACTGACTCCAGAATCCAAGTTAAAACCATTTCTGGATGAGGATGGGCTGCTCAGTGTGGGAAGGAGGTTCCAGCATTCTGACCTGTCTTACAGAGAAAGGCACGCATTGATTTTGCCCAACGACCACAGATATACAGAAATGTTGGTGCAGTATCAACATGAGACGATAATGCATACATGTGTACAAGACACTTGAGTGCAAACTCGAGAGAAATATTGGATTTTGAGGGCACGACAGCTAGTTAAGAAGGTTGTGTCAAGATGTGTACGTTGCAGAAGGTTCAAAGCAAAGGCTGGACAACAAACTACCGCACCGCTGCCAAAGGACAGAATAACAGTCACCGCCATTCGAGATCACAGGTGTAGACTTCGCAGGGCCACTCCATGTGAAGACACAGAGCTCCATGACAAATCATACATAGCACTGTTCACTTGTAACCAGAGCAGTGCACTTAGAGCTGATCTCAGATCTGTCCACTGAAAACTTCCTGCTAGCCCTGAAAAGATTCATCTCAAGAAGAGGATTGTACAAGGTGATCTACTCAGATAACGCCAAGACGTTCAGGAAAGCTGATCAGGATTTGAAGGAGCTCTGGAAAGGCATCAAGGATTCACAGCTAGGAGAGTTCTTCTCAGAGAAGGGCATCACCCGGCGGTTCATCGCTGAAAGAGCAGCCTGGTGGGGCGCATTCTGGGAAAGGCTTGTAAGCCTCGTCAAGATTATTCTCAGAAAGGTACTTGGCAGTGCTAAACTCAAATTTGAAGAAATGTGCACCATTCTGACCATGAGCCACCATCAACTCGAGGCCGCTTACTTATGTGCACAATGATGTGGATGAGCCACAGCCACTGACACCTGCTCACTGCTTGGTAGGTCAGAGACTGACTTCTGGTCTCTGTCCAGAAGAGTGCAGTCCTAGGAACAGCTAAGATACTGCGCAGAACCCTCAAACTCCCAGGCCTCTGATAGAGGACCCGAGCATGAGGATGACACATACCACCCCGCAAGGGGTGAGAGGGGGATTGTTTTTTAAATACACACACACATATAATATATATAATATATATAAAAGTTAATATACACACAGTGTGTTTTTTTTTAACTTGAGTGTATGTGTATAGGCAGTGTGGGTCCTGGTGGCTCTGGGTTGGATCTTTATCCCTGTCTACATCTCTGCTGGTGTGGTGACCATGCCTGAATACCTGGCCAAACGCTTTGGAGGCCAGAGGATACGCATATACATGTCTGTTTTGTCACTCATCCTCTACATCTTCACCAAAATATCTGTAAGACACACTCTTACATTTACATTCATTCATTTGGCAGACATACAAATGAGGTATAATCTAAGATACAGTAGAAACATTTGTCTGTTTGTGTGTGTGTTACCCAGACAGATATCTTTTCGGGGGCGTTGTTCATCCAGGTGTCGTTAGGCTGGGATCTCTATGTGTCTACAGGGATACTGCTGCTTGTCACTGCTGTTTACACTGTGGCAGGTAAACACACACACACACAACAGCATTTTTTTGTCTATAATAATCCATTATCATTAACATAAATAGAGAAAACTTGTCCATTTTGTTCATTCTGTCTGATTCAGACAGCTTATTTCTGTTTTACAGACCTCTCATTAGTATTTTATTAGCATGCTGTTTATTTCCACTTGCATTTTGCAAATAATGATTGTAAAAATCAAATCAATGAGCGTAAAAGTTAATCCACGACCTTGGAATTTCTGAATGCTCAGTTGTAATATAGGTAGCTTACTTGTCATCATGTGATCTTCTTAGGGCTGTACCCGAATCAGGATCTGAGTTGACTCAGAGCCAGGACTTTAGGCCAATGAATAGACTACACCTAACAGAGGTTAGGGTAGCAGAGGGGAGGTTGTACCGGGGCTGGTTCAGAAGTAGTTTCACCATACTTACTAACACTGAGAATGTCATTGTGGCAAACAGACAGGGGACACATACCAAGCGGGGGGTATGGTGGCCCTATCCCACAAAGTGTTGAGCATTTAACACTTAATTTCCTGCATTCTGGGGATCTCAGGAATTCTGTGTTGCTTTTGAATATGTTTCTACTGTAGATCAACTTTTCACATTATGAGTTAACACATTATGTGGGCATGTTAATATTTACTGTACTGTAATTATATAGTATATTATAGTAAAGTATTATATTTAGTAAAAACATTAATAACATTATTTTATTATATACTGTTATTTAACAGCTTTGGCCAAAGCAAAAGTACACAAAATGACAAGATAATAAAGAACGACACAACTAGATACACAGGGGTATCACCAGGCCCGCCGTCAGGAGGGGTCAAAAGGTATAGATGACCTCGGCCCAAGGCCTAGGGGGGGCCCATGCAAAGATCTATGGTTGACCCTTAAATGGGATCAAGTACAACACTTTACTTACTGTCTTATAAGAATAACAAACCTTTTTAGATGTATTTACATGATAAATAAATCTATTATTATCATTACAACATATTTCTATACTATACAAGATGGCGCCGCAGACGGCCGCCTTGGGATTACGCTCCGTAGTGCTTTTTGTGTTTTTGTTAATAAACGCTGTTTTCTGCCGTCCCTCTTTGGTAACTTTTACCAGAGAAGAGCTCTTAAACATTGGACTTTCTACAGCTCATACTATTCCACTGCTCTTTATTGACCCTGGAACTTTCCCGGAGTTACTAGTTGGAGGAGCGGCAGCTCTGTTTGGGATCCTTCGGAAACGGCGCAGGGGAAAACGAGCAGGCGCGCTGGTTAAACTGAGACAGCGGGATTTCGCACTGCGCTCCCTTCAATCCACCTGGCGAACGTCCGCTCTCTGGCCAACAAAAAGGACGAACTGCTGCTCCTCAACAGAACTAACTCGGACTTCTGCAGATCTGCTGCCCTCTGTTTCACTGAATCCTGGCTCACCGAGCGCATCCCGGACAGTGCACTTCACCTCGGGGCGGCTGTGGCTCAGGAGGTTGAGCGGGTTGGCCGTTAATCGGAAGGTCGGTGGTACAATCCCTGGCTCCCGCCAGGGGCAATTCGGGGTTCAGTATCTTGCCCAAGGACAAGATAGAGTGTATGTGTATAGGCGGCTATTCCGCCAGTGTATGAGTGAGTGTGAATGTTAGTTTCCGTTGGAGCACTTAGGCTCAGTGTAGGAATGTGTGTGACTGATGTAGTGTAAAAAGCGCTTTGAGTGGTCGAAAAGACTAGAAAGGCGCTATACAAGTACGGAGCATTTGCATTTACCTCCCGGGATTTAATCTCATCCACGCAGATCGCGAAATGGAGCACACAGGAAAAACACGGGGAGGCGGACTCTGTTTCTATATAAACGAAGGTTGGTGCACAGATGTCACAGTGTTGGAAATATCATGCAGCCCTCATTAGAGACATTATTTATAAACTGTAAACCGTTTAGTTTTCCTCGTTTGTTCTGGTCGCTGTTTACATTCCACCTCAGGCCTGTGTTAGTGAGGCGTTACTACACCTGACCGACCAGATAACTAACGTGGAGAAAAAACACCCAGACTCCCTGCTCATTGTTCTTGGGGACTTTAACCTCAGTCATGAACTTCCAAAGTCCAGACAGCATATTAAGTGTCCCACCAGGGACACTAACACACTGGACCACTGCTACACAACATTAAAGGACGCCTATCGCTCTGTTCCCCGTGCAGCCTTGGGACTCTCTGATCACTGTCTGGTTCATCTTATCCCGACACACAGGCAAAAACTGAAATCTGCTAAACCTGTTGTAAAGACTGTGAAAAGATGGACCAACGAGTCAAAGCTGGAGTTACAGGCCTGCTTTGACTGCACTGACTGGAGTGTTTTTGAAGCTGCAGCCACTGACCTGGACGAACTAACTGACACTGTGACATCTTACATCAGTTTTTGTGAGGACATGTGTGTGCCGACTAAAACCTTCCGCACATACAACAACTAAAAACCCTGGTTCACAGCGAAACTCAGGCAGCTTCGTCAGACCAAGGAGGAGGCCTTCAGAAGTGGGGACAGAGTCTGTACAACCAGTGCCAGGAACACTCTGACTAAAGAGGTCAAAGCTGCAAAGAGGTGCTATGCTAAAAGCTTATAACAGCTTTGCAGCCGACCCTGTGTCAGTGTGGAGAAGCCTACGGACACTCACAAACTACAAGAGACCATCCCCCAACACTGCTGGTACTCAACGCTTGGCAGACGAGCTGAATGGTTTCTAATGTAGGTTTGAAAAGCCCAGAGTCACACCTCTCCCCCTCCAATGCCATCTTCAAACAGTCACCTTCCCCCTCTGACCTCTCACCTGCACTCAAGATCTGTGAAGAGGACGTGAGCCACCTCTTCCAAAGGCAGAAGATCAGAAAGGCTCCTGGACCTGACGACTGCACCTCAGGAGACCCATCTGTCAAACGCCTGAAGCTGACGACACAACGGTCATCGCCTCATCCGGGACGGTGATGAGTCGGCCTACAGACGGGAGGTTGATCAGCTGGCTCTCTGGTGCGTCAGAACAACCTGGAGCTTAACACGCTCAAAACTGTGGAGATGATCGTGGACTTCAGGAGGAGCCCCCCCACTCTGCCCCCCATCACCATACTCAACAGCCCTGTGTCTGCTGTGGAATCCTTCAGGTTTCTGGATCCACTATATCCCAGGACCTGAAGTGGGAGCCCAACACTGACACGATCATCAAGAAGGCCCAGCAGAGGATGTACTTCCTGTGTCAGCTCAGGAAGCTCAACCTGCCTAAGGAGCTGCTGATCCAGTTCTACACAGCCATCATCCAGTCTGTTCTCTGCACCTCCATCACTGTCTGGTTTGGATCTGCCACCAAAAAGGACAGGGACAGCCTGCCCTCCATTCAGGACTTATACATTTCCAGAGTCAGGAAACGGGCAGAAAACATCACTGCAGATCCATCTCACCCTGGACACAACCTGTTCCAGCTCCTCCCCTCTGTTAGCCAAACAGACCAAACCAAACCAACAGACTTGGGAACAGTTTCTTCCCACAAGCCATCACTTGATGAACAGCTGATTTCTGACTCACAGTGTCAGGAACAATTCCTGTGCAATAACCCAGTAACTCTGTCTCTAATCAGCCACCTGTTTACTGGTTACCACTTACTGTTATTTATTTATTCACCATTCTCTATTTCACTGCTGTTCATACTATGTCATATTGTATATACTGTATACCAATACACCTCCCTCAGGTCATAAGGTCATAAGTCTTATTTATTTTTTCCAGCATCCTTTGCACTATATTCCATCACACTGTGTACATGTGTACATGTATGTGTACCTGTATATCATATCCACCTTCAACATGTACATAATGAGAATAATAGTTTACTCTTGCATCCTTTGCACTCTGATCACTGCACTATTTGTCAATATGTCTATATTGTGTTGTTCATAGTGTGTATATTAGTGTTGTCTATACTGTATTTATGTCTGATTTTATTATTATTATATATTATTTTATTATTGTATAAGTAAGCACATCGTAAGCAATGTACAATCCTGAGTCAAATTCCTCGTATGTGTACACACACCTGGCAATAAAGCTGATTCTGATTTCATCCTTGTCATCTGTCGCTTTAAGCGAACACTGAAGACTTCTCAGAGCCCAAAAAAAGAAAAGCCTAAACACATAGAGAAAACTAAATCATAGGGCAATGGCCAAATTTCTGGCCAAACAAAAAGTATTAAGAAGCACCTTGTAGCCTATGACAGGCGAAGGTGAGGAGCTAAAAGTCAGGCAGACTAGCAAAGCTTTAGCTATCTTAACCTCAAGTAATGTACACCAGAGCTGCCAACTCTCCGGCATCGAGCATGGCACTCACGCAATGACATTTTTCACACACACTCTCACGCTACACATCAATATTCTCCCGCAGTGAAAAACAAATAAACAACTACTAATGATTCGAGGCGAGTAACTCCACCAGCTGATGTGACACCGGTGTGTCGCGCTGTGAGTTGCAGTTACGTTAACTGAGTGAAAGAGTTTTGCAAAATAACCATCTAAAATTGAGGCACAAACTTGCTCTGGGACTGTAAGTTTATAAATTTATCCCCCTCTTCCTCTCATCCAGTAGTACAGTCCAAATGGTTCTGTGTCTGCATATGGTCTTAAGGGGCCAAACCGGCAGAGCAACAATGCAGGCTAATGCCCAGCAGACTATAGGGCAGGTATGAATTCAAAATTAGTATGAATTCTCATTAAATTATGATGTTATTCCTGAAATATTACGACATTTTTTTCAGAACATGTCAGAGAACACAGATAGACCATGTGGGAGAGATTATGAATGTACATAAAATTTTGAACATGAGCAGAAAACCTACTGAAACAGGAGCTATTAAAGTCCAGGTGTTTCTAACTGAATTAAAATGAATTCATTTCTCACTGAGGTGAGAAAAGGTGCTAGTCATATTAAGAGGTTACTTCCCCAAACAGCAAAGACAAAAGAGGAGAAAGACTACATCATCCATGTGTGCTGACTCAGAATGGATGATCACATTAGAAAATATTTGAATACACATTTAATGTGTATTCAAATATTAATATATTAATCGTTAAGTTCTGTGTGTGCAGCTTTCAAACTTTTGTTTCATTATACAACAACCTTGTGTTGTATGATGACAAATAAACAACCTTGTAACCTTGTCAAGGTTTATCTACAGGAGAAACATATCTAAAGCAACACAGAGTGCCTGGGAGCTTTACTGCATTATATTCCATTATATTGTCACCTGCCACCTGAATTTTGTGTTTCCATTTATATTAATAAAGATTAGTAACACCCACAAGTTCCCTGTACAGCCTCAAGAAAACTGACCTACAGTAAACACTAGTCAGCAGCACATCACACTCACAGCTGCAAATACAGTTAAAATACAATAAGCTATACATAACAAAGCCTCTGTTTATATTATTATCATCATTTCAGCTGACACAGCCACATACTCTATACAGTATTTTAGTTTTGCACATAATTTGATTAATGTCCTCAAGATTGAATTAGATAGATGAAGTATATTTATGCTCATAATTTGATTTATGATTAATGCTTAATGGTTGATTTTACTTTTCTCTAATCAGTGAAGCATTGAAGGACATTTTTCTGTCTTTTGTCTTGTTTAAGTTAAAAGGAGGAATATAACTGTCACAGTCTAATTTAAAAAAACTGTATTGACCTTTTGTGCTTTATAATCATATTGAGAAGGCTAATTGAATATGTATGTGAGCATGGCCTGGATGAGTCTACAACACTGAATTTGGACTCCATCTGTGCCACTATAAGGCTAATGGCCAAGAGCTTCACTGAAATTTCCCGCGTTTGTATTAGAACTTAGGGCGGGTGGTAGTGATGTGCGATACCACTTAATTCCTATATGATCCAATACCAAGTAATACCCAGGCTGGTATTGCAGATACCGATACCAATACTTTTAACATATTTTATTTCTAAGATAATGTCACCCCCCCCCTGTTTCTGTAGTCATGAGGGAAATAAAGAGTAGGCTGTAGGCTTACTAATTCCAAATAATAGCTGCATAATGACAAGACATCAAACTACTGTCATATTCTAATTATAATAAAAATCTTCTGCTCAGAACTGCCGCTTCATAACATCATCCTATTATTTTGACTTAATCTCAGATGTTTAGTGAAGTTTGCAGTGTTGCCAAAGTATTTCACTGTCTTTGCACACACATCACACACAGCATCATTATTACTGTCAGGGAAAATAATTCCTTCCCAAAGAATATGGAGTCCAATAGATGTGATGAATCATTCTTTATGTAACGTGGCCACGGAGAGAACGCACGGTTACTCTCTCGAACTCAGTATTTCCTCTGCTTAAATACAGAACAAGTACAAAAAACAACAGTCAACAAATGGTAGACGAAGAAAAACAAATGGCAGTATTAGCATACACTCAAAAGAAAATCTTCGTGAACTGAGAAAGGAAATGCAAATGTATAAGGCATCAAAGATGTTTCTCTGTCTCTTGATTGGTCTATGTTAAAATCTCACCTACATGCCAGCAGATGTTTATCGTAAATCAGCCTTTGATGAGAAACCAAAGCTAATTTTTCACAAGTTAGTTACAGTGAAATTCTAAAAATGAGCAACTTATAATGTAATGTAAAAGGGCTGACTTCAGAGAAGCTCTGTCACAGAGCCGTAACGCATGCATGACTTTGACAGGCGGAAGGAGAAGTAGTTCCAACCGAGTATAATTAGACCATCCTGGTGACAGTAAGATACTTAATAATAAAATAATAATACACACTCACTCCAAATGACTCTGTTAGACATCAATCCTTTTATATGAGTATCAATCCTAGAGCAGGAAATGTTGGTATCAGAATATCGATACCATATTTAGTATCAATCCGCACATAGTGGATGGAGGTGGTGTTGGAGTGGGTGTCGATGAGTGCCCAGTTGGAAAAATGTTGTCCCCCTGTCCATAATTCCTGTGTCATGTCCGGCCTGGGTATCACGTAACAAGGTTTACATTTTAACTGTTTAATTTTGGCCAGAGCTGTTTAACATATAATAAAATCTATTTAACCGCTCTGGTTTTGGCTAAAGATCTTAATGTAAGATGTAAGATGTAAGAGATTCTTTCAAGATCAACATAGAAAAAAAAACTCCAGCTGCCTTTTTACTTTGTTTTCCTAAGCCACCTTTTGAAAGTCAGACTGTTGTTGTGGTTCAAAGGCAGCAATAACAATAACAAGGAATTACAGTATTAGTATACTATACTATATAGCACATAATTATAGTAAGGTACATATTAATGCATAATTTACATTGATGACACATTCTGATTTAACGGCTCTGGTGGGTTGAGCAGCCGAGATAAACATCATCACTTCTTGTGCGCGGTGGCTTCTGGGACGAACCATATTTGGAAATTCAACTTCCTTCACCTTTGTCTGCAGGCTGCAGCTGGATTGTGTCTGGACCATGGGGGCTGTGGCTGATAGCGGTTATTCAGTGGGCCTTTCTCATTGTGCCTCCTCGATCCTCGACTCCTCGCATCGCGTTCTACTCCCTCCCACCCGAGATGTGAGCTGGAGGAGTCAAGGAAACAGGCTTTTAATGAAATGAGATGTCCTTGCCTCGGTTCCGTCATTTTAATGTGACGTCAATCTGACCTGTTGCACGGCTATATCATCGGTCGCTGTGATCTCGGTCAGATGAGCAGATCAGCGTTCATTCATCATCAGTCCCTTTATGAAATGACACAGTAAAATGTATCTCATATAGCCCCAATAACAACTGTTATGAAATGTGCAGACTACATAATGGGCACTATCATTACAACATGAAACACAGCAGATCAGTGCTGAATGCTCTGGTTGATATTACAGCCTAATAATTGACTTCAGCAGCTGTTTGAACTTGTTTTGTCACGATTAACAGCTAAATTGGTGTGATGCGCGGATAGGCTTGGACATTATCTGAATAGATAGATTTAGAGCCACACCTGTATGGGACTTTTACCCACCTCCACTGGTCACTATAGCTTTCCATGTGATTTCTTTATTGTGTCGTTCACGATTTAGTTTGAGGAGTGGGACAAAAAAAAACTGCAGTAATAAACTTGACAGGACAGACAGAGAAAACTCTGCAGAGGAAACAGAATTCAACTTTTAGCCTCTGAAATGTTTAGATTCTCTGATGGAGCTCAGGATTTATCAGGAGGACGGCTGCTTTAAAAAGTTTCACTGTACAAACCTGGACTGTGTGTGAGAAGAAATGTGTAGATGTGTAGTAGAAAACAGAACATGAATTAGAAGAAGATCTTGACCCCTCCTGTTGGCGTGTTGAGGGATTTAAATATTAGTTTTTGTTGCTGTGGCTCACACGTAAATGCCACAGCGTCTCTGGGGAGATTCATCCTGCCAGCCGCTATTCAGTGTTCATTTTTACGTCCTGCTGCTTATCCACACATCACATTCAACAACATCAACATCAGTGATATCAAAGTGAAATGACATGAACAAATGCGAACAGCTACACAAATGGTTAGGGGTAGAAAGTTTGATCAGGCATTCGATCATTTGAAATAACTAATACAACTTATGAATACAACAGAAACACTATAGAGTCCTGTTCCGGCCATGTGTTGGTCTAGCTGCATGTCAAACCTCTTAAACGTCACAGAGGCTGAAAAGACTCCCGTGTATCCTCACTTATAACTCCTCCAGCAAGCCTCCTCGATCCTAGGAATTGAGATGTCCTTCAAGATGGCTTGAGGCTTGAGGCTCAAGGATCGAGGATAGAGGAGGCACAAATTTGGGAAATGAGAAAGGCCCACAATCCAACTGACTGAGTGTGTGTGCGTGCGTTGGTTTCACCTGTATATAAGCACATTTTATCTGAATACGCACTTACTCTGTAAGGACATACCGTACTTGTAAGGGGACAGAGTGTTTGCTGTCAGGGCCCCGAGGCTCTGGAACAGCCTGCCCGAGGAAATCAGGTCAGCTGAGTCAGTGAACTCTTTTAAGTCCCTTCTTAAAACATACTTTTATAGGAGAGCATTTCCTGATTTTATTTGACTTTATTTTATCCCTTTTATTTTATGTATTTTACTAATTTTATATTTATCTTAAACGTGTATTTTAGTCTTTTATTGCTTTATCTTGTATTGTTTTTGTATTATTGTCTCTTTATTGTCTTTACACTTGTTAAAGCACTTTGTAACTTGTTTTTGAAAGTCCTCTCAAGTCCTTACAAGACAATCAACATGCATTTAGGTCACTCGCGCCTTTTCTCCGTATGTTCCTATAAACCGGTTATACTGGAATTCAAAATTATTCCAGTGTGTGCTTTTTTAAAAAATGTATTTATTTATTTAAAAGGGACAGCGTACAATAAAACATAAACGTTACCATTTTATGCACTGTATCAGATTATAGCTTCAAGCTAATTCGCATCTGCAGTCCCTTGGCAGGTCATTGTTAATACAATACAATTATAAATACATTTGCTAAGGCTGACTAGTTCATTAGAATGCCAAGATCACAACATCGCCAAACAGCATCCCAGTCATATCGCGACGTCCACCAAAACAATCGCAACACGACCCTGGCTCGCTCAGCCCCAGCACAAATCAACAGCACACAAAGTTACACAAACACACAAGGTTACATAGAAAAAGACACAAGATGTGCAAGTGAACTACTCACAATGAAACATAAGAACATTTACCAGTCAATTAAATTAAAAGCAGGTCAAAAATCTCTGATAAAATATCTGGATCAGTGATTGCTGAGTAGCTTTTAACTGCCATTTCAACTTTGCTTTAAACATCCTGATGGAGTTGCTGCTCCTCACATCATCAGGCAGGGTGTTCCACTGGTTGTGGCTTTTACAGAAAAAGCAGACTGGCCAGATGTAGTACGATGGAATGGTATGCCACAGTCTCGAATAGAGGAGATTCTGAAGGACCTAATTGATTTCACTGAGCGAGTAAACACAAAATCACAAAGTGGAGGATGAGCCAAGCCATTTAAAGTTTATATACTAAGCACAAATTAGAAATATTATAAAATGATCAAAACTAACAAATAATATTTCTGAAGTATTCTACAATGAGGATAGTGTTTAATTTTTTTATCCAAAATTTCGTTTATACAAAGACTCCAGAGGTTTAATAGTTGTTTCACCAGCCTGCCCCCAACACATAATAACATAATAAGACGTGTGAAATGATAGACAGTTTCTAATATATCTAAATGTAACTAAATTTTTCTTAATGGTTTTATCCATATTTTTAACATGTTTCTTAAAATTCAAATTTGGATCCAAGTTCACACCAAGATATTTCAAATCAGTGACTATATCAATCCTTTCATCATTAACAAAAATATCAGTGGGAGTAGGTTGTGCCAAGAAATTAGAAAAAAAAGATACCTTTTGTCTTATTTACATTTAAACTAAGACATGATTGATCAAGCCACTGTGAGATCTTTTTCAATGCACTTGTTCAGCTGTTTTTGCATGTGTCATCTGCATACATTTGCAGGTCTACATCCTGACACTGTTCAGCAAGGTCATTAATATATAAACTGAACAATAACTGACGTAAAACTGACCCTTGTGGAACACCCGTTGTGCACTTCATGTAAGTGGACAGAGCATCACAAAGATTAACACATTGCATCCTGTTAGATAAATATGAAGACATCCGTGCCAGTGCTGATGAAAAATTTAATTTGGAGAGCTTTGATATTAACACGTCATGATCAACTGTATCAATGCTTTACTTAGGTCTAAAATACAGAACCAACTACTGCTCCTTTGTCGTCCTTGATTTAATTTGCTCTATCAAGTGCAAGGTAGCAGTTTCTGTTGACTGCATACAATGTAGACCAAACTTGCTTGTATTTAGAAACGATGTTTGTTGCTCAATTGCAACTTTGCAATTTTGGAAAGTACTGGCAGTATGCCTATAGGTCTATAGTTCCTGGCATCATGGCGGTCTTCAGATTTAAAAACAGGTGTAACAATGTCACATTTCCAGTCATCATGAAAGACACTATGTCTGAAAGATAAGTTTATCAAATGGGTGATAGGGGGAGTTAAAATATCTTTGCAAGATTTAACAACCGGTATCGCATTGGGAAGCATCCTGTAAACTTCAGGTCCTTCTTAGTGATATTATTGATGTTTTCCCAGATCAATTTACTATTGCCTCTTGCCTCATTCAAAATATTGACATAAAAATTAGATTTAGCTAATCTTAGCTCTTGGATAACGTTGTTTCTTAGTCCTTTATAGACCAACATATTAGTGCCTTCCTAAGCGCAGTATCTCTCTTTTCATTAAACAATGCTAAATTATTACGTTTTACATTTTTTGTGGACTCTCACATTAAATCTTTCCCTCACTAAATTGATTTGTTGATTGAAAGTTTTACAGCCCATATTCAGATCATCAGATGAAAATATTTAATCCCAGTTCAAGGTGTTAATTTCACTAACGAACTTGCGTAGATCTGGGTATGCATTGAAAAATCTTTGTCTTACTTGCCTTATTTCTAAATCCATTTTTAGTCAACTTTCTGGCACAAAGGTTAAGTTAGGCTCAGGCACCCAGTTATTAAATTATAGCTTTTAATTATTCGTTCAGGTTTGTTAGTAAATATCAGATCAATTTGTACTGGATATATTTTGCAATAGTAATTGGGCCTTTATTTTATTGTTCAGGTGAA